CAGGATCAGGCTTTGACAAACAAGTATGGCCACAGGAAGTGTTTTTCATTTAGACAGTGATGGTGTTTTTGGGGCTTAAAAATCTGAAACCGTCCTCCAGAGTGGAAAAGTTGAATACGCTCCACCATAGCGTTTCCGTCTACACTGCCCAAGATGCAAAACTCTGGTCAGATCTGCTATCATGTACACGTTTGTGTCACATACTTCACCACCTAGCATCACCACCTAACCTGACATGCATAACCAATCCAATTCCACACACTTTTGCGTCACCGTATGCACGCAGATTATCTCCCGAAAACACTTGTCTAAACGTGGGATAAAAAGTGAAGACGCGACGCCATTTTTGCATCGACTGTGAAGACCATCATCATATAAACGTAGCCTTAGATCAGGGGTGTCCAAAATTTTCATCAAGGGCCACATATCTAAACACAGATGAAGCAGAGGGCCGTTTGAGGGCCGTAGACTGATGCTCAATACAGTGAATAATTCACATATGTGCATGTTTAACACATTAGAATGAACCATCAGTCTTTATTCATGCTAAGACCCTTAAAACCACACACTAAATATTACATATTAGCTTTATCAAGGTACATTTTCAAAAAACTTGCAGAAAAAGTAAATTTTTCATTGATTCCAGGTAATTTGGACCAATTCTCTTGGAAACCTGAGGGTCAAGAAAAAATTGTCAGAGGGCCGCATTTGGCCCAGTTTGGACACGCCTGCCTTAGACAACCTAATAAATGGTTATTCAAACATGTGTGACTGAAACAAAACACAACCCCAGGTAGATCAGAAAACAGTGTAATATGAGCCTTTTCAAATCTAATTTGAGTCTCAGAGCTTCAGACAGAGCAGTGTCTCTGTTAGAGAAATGTTTGCAGTTGTGACGACACGTGCTGAAGCGTCACTCCTCTCCTGTTTGAAGAGAAAAGGTGGTGCAGGTGGAGGAGCCGATGAATAGATCTGAAACAAAAGGATGAGGCGAGCGTGAGGCGGCGGCGGCTCGTGTGACGGCGCCGAGTGAAAGACATGAGACGCTCTGAGGGTCACATTCACACGTCTGTCCCGCTTCACTTTAATGTTCTGAAGCGGCTTCCTGTTTCTGAAGCTGCACCTGCAAACACTGATCTGCACTACAGACAGAGAGAGAGAGAGAGAGAGAGAGAGAGAGTGAAGAGGAGGAGGAAGAGGAGGGGGTAGGGGGACAGAGGGAGGAATAAAGGGAGAGAGATGATGGGAGAGGAGGAGGGAGAGGTGGAGAGATGGATTAGAAGAGGGAGGGTGAGAGAGATGGAGGAAGAGGAGGAGGGAGAGAGAGGGAGAGGAGGAGGGATGGAGAAGAAAGAGAGGGGAGAAGAGGAGGAGAGAGGGAGGGAGAGGGGTACAAAGAGAAGGAGGGAGGGAGTGATGGAGGAAGAGGGGGAGGGAGGGAGGGAGGGAGGGAGGAGGGAGAGAAAGACGAAGAGGAGGGGAGAGGGGGACAGAGTGAGGAATAGGAGGAGAGAGAGGGAGAGGAAGAGAGAGAGGGAGAAAGAGGAGATAGAGGGTGGGTGGGAGAGAGGGAGAGGAAGAGAAGGTGGGAGAGAGGGAGAGAAGGAGAGGGAGGGTGGGGGAGAAGGAGAGAGAGTTGGAGAGAGGAAGGGGAGGAGGGAGAGAGAGGCAGGGGGAGAGGAAAAGAAAGGACTGAGGGGAGAGGGAGAGAAGGAGGAAGGGGCGGTAGAGGGAGGAATAAGGGGAGAGAGAGGAAGAGGAGGAAGGAAGGAGAGGAAGCGGGAGAAGAGGAGAGAGGGAGAAAGAGAAGAGAGAGAGAGGGGGGAGGAAGTGGAGGAGGGATGAGATCAGGTTGGGGAGATGGACAAAGGGGAGGAGGGAGAAAGAGGGAGGAAAAGGAGGAGAGTGAGGGAGAGTAGGGGATGATGGTTGAGGGAAAGAAGGAGGGATAGGAGGGGTGAGGAGGATGGAGGAGAGAGAGAGAGGAAGAGGAGGAGAGTGAGAGAAGGAGGAAGACTGGGGAGGAATAGGAGGAGGAAGATGAAAAGAAGGGGGAATAGGAGGAGGGAGGAGGGAGGAAGAGAGGGAGGAAAAGGAGGAGGGAAAGAGCAAGTGGAAAGGGAGAGAAGGAAGGAAGGAGGTTGAGAAAGGGATGAAGGAAGAGGGAGAGACTTTCACTCACCCCTTCCTCACCTCCAGTGGTAAAACTCAACATAAAACTCCAAATATTTTCTGTTTCTACTTTCTGAGCGTGTCCAGGTTGAAACGACAAAACACACAGAGGCTCGTCTCCAGAGGAGGACGTTTTTCACACTTGTGGATGAATAAAGAGTGAGTCAGGACGGATTAAAGGTTCAGTAGATGCAGCGCTCACGTCCAGGTGTTTGGATAATAGCAATAATTATAAGAATAAAAACAGTGGGCGGCAGATCTCACGGCGTGTCTTTGAACGTCACGTCACGGCTTCAAAAGGCTTCAAGGAATTATGAACTCTAACGATCAGAGCATCTCCAAAACCAAGGTGTACCTGTGTGCTGTCAAACAATGGTTTAGACCTGGTTTAGTCCTGGATGAGTCCCGGTTTAGTTCTGGTTTAATTTTGGATGAGTTCTGGTTTAGACCTAGTTTAGGCCTGGTTCAGTCTTGGTTTAGTCCTGGTTTTAGACCTGGTACAGTTCTGCAATTTAGTGATGTTCTGTTTGTATGTAACAAGCATCTAACAGAAATTGTTTAGACCTACTTTTAGACCTGGTTTAGTCCTGATTTTAAACCTGCTTCAGTCCTGATTTAAGACCTGGTTTAGTCCTGGTTTAGTCCTAATTTAGACCTGATTTATTGCTGATTTCAAGCTTGTTTTATTCCTCGTTTATTACTGATATAAAGCCTGCTTTAGTCCCAATTGTAGACCTGGATTAGACCTGATTTAGTCCTGATTTTACAACCAATTTAGTCCTTGTTTAGTCCTAATTTAGACCTGGTTTAGTCCTGATTTAGACCTGGTTCAGTCCTGGTTTATTACTGATTTCAAGATTCTTTTATTCCTGGTATAAAGCCTGCTTTAGTCCTAACTGTAGACCTGGTATAGTCTTGATTTTAGAACCAGTTTAGTCCTGGTTTAGTCCTAATTTAGACCTGGTTTACTCCTGGTTTATTACTGATTTCAAGCCTTCTTTAGTTTTAATTGTAGACCTGGATTAGACCTGGTTTAGTCCCGATTTTAGAACAAAGTTAGTCCTGGTTTAGTCCTAATTTAGACCTGGTTTAATCCTGGTTTATTCCTGATTTCAAGCCTGTTTCAGTCCTGACTGCAGACCTGGTTTAGACCTGGTTTAGTCCTGATTTTAGACCTGAAATAAAAACAAGTCACAAAACAAGTCATTTAAACTCATGGGTTTCAGACTAATGACAAAATTGTACCGTTGCCATAGCAATGTAAAACTAAATATTCCATATTATAGCTTTGGTCAAAAATCTTCAAAAATATTGAAATAAGCAAGAAGCTGAAATCCATAACTATAAAGCAGAAAAAGCCATGTGTATTTTTCGATGGCAAGTTTCCCCAAAACCACTCAAACATATATTTTTCTATCCTATTTCAGAATGATGAGAAATTAGGACCGTTGCCATAGCGATGTCCTATCCATAAACTGCAATTAAAAATATATATTACAACAACTGACCGTGGAGAAATCAAAAACACAATACAAGAATTTTCCAGTTTGTACTTTTAATGTTTCTTAAATTAGGTGTATTGTGATTTCAGAAACAGAAAATGCAGTCATTTCAACAGGGCAAATCCCAGATCCCTCATTTTTAACAACACAGAACATTTTTCACAGAGATACAAAAGACAGTACAAATATGATAGAAGGATAAAGCTCCACCAAGCAACTTTTTATGAATAATAATTAGCAAGATGGAGAAATGTGTTTGTCAAAAAATGAGCAAAAACAGTAGTGTAACAAGGCAAAGAGAATACAACATATTACAAAAAGTTCTAACAGTTATGGTGATTTAAAACTTTTAACTTTGACAACTACATCTCGAACTGGACTACTGCATTTAAAGCTGCACTGAGGAACTTTTCTGGTGTAGCTTATCTGTCGCCATGGAGACGAGCAGGCGTCTCTACCAGGCCAAGATTCAGGCCAGATCTGTGGAAAAACGACTTGAGAATTTGTTTAAGGTTTTTGCGCAACTGAATACATGGAAGTTAGAACGATTTAATGGCCCCTATCAGAAAAGTTCCATGGTGCACCTTTAAAGCTTTGCTAATAACGGAAGCCCTGGTAAGAAGCTGAAGTTGTTGAAGTTTTTGAGCCTCAACTTGTGCGGTAATTCACGGACTAAATGTGTACTAGGACTAAACCGAGACTAGGTCAAATCCCGGTTTAGTTCTGGGTTAAATCAGTGAGTTTCGCGTGTTTCCGGAACCTCGTCTCCACAGTTCTGACCTGTAACTTGGTCTGGTGGAGATAGAGGAGTTTAATGCCATACTGGGAAACATTCCAAGCAAAACATCAAGTTAAATTTCATCACGTTTCAATTTGAATGTGCAGAAAATTACATTATAAGACAGTAAACAAAACAGTAAATATTGCGGTAAACTGGTATAGAAATTCTTACATTTTTGTATCTGAATGGTTTCAAAATTCAAACTTATTGTGAACTGCAGCTCTGACTAGTAAATCCAGGTCCAATGTTATTCATAATTTAACTGTAACAAACGAAAATAAATAAATTCTGCTCTGAAACTGTGAAATGAAGAGCTCTTATTGTGGCATTTTGTATTTTTGTTACTATTGATACTTTGCAGCCGATCTCATCAACATTTTCTTGAAGTGTGATGCTGTCTGAGGCTTTGTTACGCTTAAATCTCACCTTTATTTTAACAGAATCTGAACCATAAAACACTGACTTATTTGAAGCTACAATAGGCGAGCTGATTTGAGATTTAAACAAGTTCATTGGTTTGTTCCATTTTTAAAAAAGCTTTTTTCGCCACTGTTCATTGACGTGTGCATTGTGTCTCCATGGTAACAGCTGAACATTCTGCCATACACACACGTAGAACACCCCCAGCGTGACGTCACTGCAAATTATCAATAGTAACCTGGTCAGTAGTGAAAAGTTTTGAAATGAAACCAAAAATAAATTGACAGTTTAGTTCATAAAAGAAAAAAAAGTGCTATAGTTTCTGTATAAACTTTGAAAAATGCTCCTGAAAATACACAACATTAAAAACTGTTACTTACAACTTAAATATAGCATTGAAATAATAAAAAACATTACGTCTTTGTTGAAATCATTAGTGATCTATGTGTATTTGACAAAAAATAAATGTAACATTATAAGCACTGAAGACTTTTCCATCCATATATTAACATTATAACTCTTGCTTACTGCAGCCTTACGTTACGTTAAATTAAATATCTTATATAGAAGGATACATACATTTAAATGAAAACATAAATACACTGAAATAAACAGGTGTATTTGTGTATTAAGAGGACCATGTAAAGTGCATGCATGAGGAGGACAGGAGCAGGCTGTGGGGCAGAGCTTTAGTCTCTGGAGTTGTGCCGTAGACTTCAGTCAGTGAGGTTCAAAGTGAAAATGTCCAAAAGTGGGTAGTTCTGACCTGTTCCTGTATTACATAAAATTGACTCTTGTGAGCTTTAAGACATGTTAGAACTACCTAGTGCCTCTGCTCAATTTCATTTCTCTCCAGCGACTAGGTCAGGATTCAGAACACACTAGACGCCGGCGAGTTATAAACCATGCACCGGCCAATCAGTGAAGAGCTGTGAAGCCATGACGTCAAACTCAAGCACCTGTCTGGGTCCCTTTTGTGGTACAGCACAACAGTAAACAAAGCGGTCGAGATGGATGTAGACGAAGACATACATTCCCGAGAGCGAGGATTTAAAGCCGGAACAAAGAGAATGTTTGGTGAATTTTATCAAGGGGAAAGATGTTATTGCCCTTCTTCCTACGGGATTTGGTGCAATACATACTTCACGGCCAAACAGCAGGGATTGGTTAAATAAAAAAATACCTGCCTACCGTTAAGCGAACAAATCCTAATGCTGTGAGGTCAGACGGTTTCCACCAAGTGAAACTGGCTGATGAATCAGGTTATGTTCGAACGGTGTTAGCTCCTCAAAAACATGGAGTTGTGTTTTGTTTCATTCACAAGTTTGAGAAATCCTTTATTATTAGTTTGACTATTTTTCCAAAGCTCAAAATGCTCTGTTCCACCTTGTGATGTCATGTAGTGGTAGTTATATAGTTAACAGCTACTTTTACCATTTGTTCAGTAGAGATTGGTCATTTCAGAGCTGAAATCATCCAAATTATTCTATAAAAAAAAATTTAAAAAATCAGGATTTCAGGAGAATCAACGAGCAAATCACTAAACTGTTAATCTGAGGTGAGAGAAATTTTGTTTGTAAATGATTTGTGACCAATGAGCTCCTTCGTTTCACATGCGTCACTGAAATAAACAAATCTGATTGGACGATTGCGTTGGCCTTGTCACAAAAAATCTTAGTAATTACTCTATCAACTCATCTGGCACAATATACTTTGGGGCTCTATATTTATGGTCTGTACATTTTCGTTTCAGTCTTGGGAAAATTTTTGTTATTTTCAATGTAACAAGAAAATATTTGAGCTGCAGAGGCTTAAAGTTACAGAGAAATAGAATTGCTTTTTAAATTCTTGCTCTAGCCTTTCCAAATACCCCAAAGATAAGGGTAGATGCAACATGCATTTTTTTGCATGTTTTCTTTGGTTTCATTAACAGAAATAGTTTGATCTAGTCTACAAATTGGTACACAGTAGCACATTATTTGTAATTTAGTAGATAAGAATTGTATTTTCTTTCAACATTTTTACTGCAACTACCTTTTTCATGACCTGATCAGCCAGAACCACACGCTTTGCAAAAACTTTACAAAGACGAGTGGGTCTGATGCTGTATTCTCTTGTCTCCCTGATTTCAGAGAGCATGATTGACAGGTGGATTAACCAATCAGAGAGATGCATGCTCCAGTTCCGTCAAAAACAAACATGGCTGGAAAAAAAACAACAACAAAGAACTGAGAAACGGCCCGGATTTTTACTGAATCAACAATCTCAGCTTATCTCAGGTAAAAGAAGTTGTATATTTTGTTCTAAATGTTTCGAGAATTTGGGAAAGATGTCTTCTACATTTGAGAGACATGATACAAATTAGCGTCGTCTCAAGTTTGGATGGAGAATTTTCACGGTCTGTGGTCCTGTTCTAGTCCCTTCTGGATTCAAATAGAATGTAGAAAGGACTGTCTGGTCAGAGAACCTTTTTCATATAGTACAGCTTTATAATTTTACTCTAATTTACAAATTTTTCTCTACCCACTTCTGGACATTTCATCATTGACCATCTCTGTGACCAAACCGCACAAACAGAGCCGTGAGCGCCATAGAAAAGTGGTACAAAAGTGTAGAAAGTGTCAGAAGGCTCACGTCATACAAACTAACAACTGTACATTGTCATAAAGCTCCGTGCGACTTTAGTGTTGGGAAATTACAATGTGGATCGAAGTGTAACGCAAATAACTAAAATGTATTTCCAGTTACATTCAATTTCACTCTAGTTTGTTGAAAAGACCAGGTCAGTATGGCACACTTTACACTGTCAGAAGGAGACACCGAACTTCTCAAGTGGTTAAAAGTGCTTAAAGGGCTTGTACCAGATTTTCCCCATGTGTTTAAATACATTTGTACAGATATGCTGTATGTACACGGAGTGGTGGATCAGGAAGTGTGTGATTAGCATGCTAGTTGTTTTACAGTCTGCTCCAAAACTCCGCCCTGGTCTCTGAAAGTTATGAAAAGCGCTTACAGTATAAACTTATCAAAGGCAAGTAGGTAGTATAAAGGTAAGTGAGGAGTAACTTCGGGCGACTGCGAACCGATTAAAGTGAAATTATTCTGCCGTACTGTGCTTGTGTCGGTTATATAGTTACAATCTACGACACCGTGGATCGTTGCGTTATAATTTGGACTTTCTAAACAGCGACACCGATCTAAAACGGCTTTTATAAAAGAAACAAATCTGCCGACTTCCGCGTTAGAAAACTCCGGTGCACAATAGGAGCTGACGTCGCCGTAAACGCCATCACAAGATTCCGAGAAGTTACCAGGAATCTCTCTACGGATGCTGCGGTTGTTTTTTTTGGCATTTATACCAAAATAACTACGTAACACTACCGAATCTTATATGTATCGCAGGTAAGTAAGTCCAGAGAAATGGATGCATACGGGTGGATAGGCATGGGATGATACTTAAATCTGGTGTCACAATTATCATGGCCAAAATAATTGCCATATTTTTTGGACTATAAGTTGAACGTTTTTGGATGGTTTGGGTGGTCCTGCGACTTATATATTAAAATGTTCACACTGACAGCTGCAAGAGGGCGCTCTAGGCTTGTGTGTCAGGATCTGCTACTCCTATTACTTCTGTACTAACTGTCACTTCACTCTACTGCGCATGTCTCCTGCACAAAAAGCCGCTGTCCTGCTCCAAGTAGTAAAATGTGCAGTCAAAAACAGTAATCGAGCCACAGAAAGAAAGTTTGGAGTGAGCGAGAAACTTGTGAGGCACTGGCGAAAAGCGGCCATCATGGATCTACAGTTTACCTCTGGAGATCGCGGAGTTGCTCAGACGTGACACTGAGGATGAAGACTTCAATGGATTTAGTGATTTGGAGTGAGATGAAGAGTTCTGTAAACTTGTTCTGTTGTTAAGTTGTTTATGCTATAGTTACCTGAAGATAACACACCAGACTCCTATTCAGTCTGTTGTTTTCTGTTCTATTGTTATTACTGCAACTTTCCTTTCAAGATGAAGCGTCAGTTCCTGGTCTCTGATTCTATCAAGTAAATTTCCCCCAGAACGTGTGACTTATAGTCTGGTGCGACTTATATGTTTTTTTCTTCTTCATCTTTCTGGCTGGTGCAACTTATTAAATCTTTTATGCCTTCTGCCATAAGGCTTTTAAATGGAAAGTGAATTTGCTACTGTGTCCCTGATGCACTGTGGTTTGAATGTATGGTGTCTGTCTTTCTTTTTCTTTTATTATTTATAGATTGTGCACGACCAGAGATGTGCGAACTGAATTGCCCTTTGGGATTAATAAAGTTGTTGATTGATTGATTAAACTCCGGATTGACTTATAGTCCCAAAAATACAGGTACGATTGACGATTATATAACGATAGTAAAAAAAATTAAAAATTTGATATGAATAATTATAATTGTAATAAGTTCCATGTTTTAACAAGTTTTATATAATTGTACTTTGTTATAAGTGAAAACATGGATAGATAAGTAGCTTTTTTCTACACATTTTGGTGATATAACAGTGAATATCTTTGTTGGCGATTATCACGATTATATAAATTTACCCACGAACGATTATTGTCTACTCTTTTTATCACAATAATCAATATTATTGTTTATTGTTCCGACCCTACTGGTGGCCTTAAAAACAGGGGTTAATCTGAGCAACGGCTTCTTGCAATACAGGAGAATAAAAAAGACTCAAAACAAATATGAATTATTATAAATACAACTTCGAGAGCGTAAACGAGAAGGAAACTATAACATGATAAAAAGCGCTGAAAAGTTCTCTGCTTAATAGGTCCATTTTAATACAGTAAAAATCGGGTACAGCGCCTTTAACAACTTTGAAAACAATATCAGGAAGAGGCTAAATATATAAGTTGTTTTATAATTTGACAACACTTAGCTTTATAGAAATGTGCCATAGTGACCAAATGGATAATAATGAAAACGTACTGTGCGTCTAATAAATGTTATAATGTGGGAACCCTTTTCACCAGACGAGATGATTTGAACCACAACTGGACACTGAACATTTATGTGAAGTTATAAAAGAGCATAGCTGAGGAGGAGCCCTGAGCCTGTCCACTCTGCCATCTGAAAAACATTCACAAAGCATTAGAAACCAAGCGCACGTGTACAAAACAGACTGTACTTTACTTTTCTATTTCGTGGATATGTTTTACTTTTACTTCAGTACATTAGAGAGCATGTACCCGTACTTTCTACTCCATTACATTTTAGATCTGGACTGAAAAGTAAAAAGTAATTTTCTTTATGGTTTGAGACCTGCTGAAATTACTTATTTTTAGCACATTTAATTGAGTTTGAGTCCAAACTTTGAGCAAACCAAACACACAAAAACGACTAGAAAAATTCGAAAAAAAAAAATCTATTGAATCACTTAAAATCTGCAAAATTCTACTTCATCCTTTAATTGTTCTAAAAAATCTCTGCAAAATACTACATACTACATTACTACTTTTTAAAACAGGTACTTCAATTGTTTTTAATATTTTTAATTAACTCACAAAACTTAATTTCATCCTGAGAGCATCAAACACTGCAGTTTTGATGTAAATGGTTGATGTGACCAGCAGAAGGCGCCAGGAGTGTCATAACTTACCACTGAAGCTGTGGAGGACTGGGAGGTCATCTCAAGGGCTGTCTGCTCACGCAAGGTTTGTTCTGAAGATGAACACAAGAATTCATTATTGGAACGTACAAGATATTGGGTAAATGTGTATATTACAGTGGTCCCTCGTTTATCACGGGGGTTATGTTCTAAAAATAACCCGCAACAGGCGAAATCAACGAAGTAGTCAGCTTTACTTTTTACAATCATTCTATATGTTTTAAGGGCGTAAAACCCCTCAGCACACACTTTATACACTTTTCTCAGACAGGACAGTTACAAGTCTTTTTGCATTCTTCTTAAAACTTATTGCTGCTGTCGTCCTTATGTTATTTTCCTCCTTATTGTAACAAACTGAAAATGATTTTATTCCGTAATGGCGCCCTACAGCCGCATAACTTCTACCTTCTTTCAACATGTCCAGAAGTCCAACTTTTTGTGCGATGGTTTGCATTTTGGGTGTGACTGCAGGAGTCTTTGTCAGTGCAGACCAATTTTTTGTCGAGGAGAAAACTTGCAAACACACAGCACTTCAGAATCACACTGCTAAAGATTGAACATTTATGTAAATTTGGCAACTGAAGGCATTCTGTACTGTACAGGAGACACGGCACGGAGGAGATTGATTGGCAATGGTCTACAGTCCCTTAGCCAATCAGAACACAGGGGGAGGAACACAACGTGCATTCATATGCTGTAAAAAATTGCAAAATTGCACACAAAAAAAATCTGCAAAACAACGAGGCCGCGAAAGGTATAGTGAGGGACAACTGTGTTTTATTGTTTTTATTTTTTGCAATGTTATGGGTTTGCTTTTATTTAACTTTTAGTTTTAGTGTGTTAGGACTGGCAAGGCATTGATTGGCAAGAAATTAGAAAAGATCAGTCTTACCTTGTGGTCAGGGCATCTCATGGAGAAGTTGTCTTCATTTAAGACACAGCCTGAAAAAGACAAAATAAAAATGAAATAAATCAAGTAAGAAATTGAATTAGAAGTCGAGTTAGAAGTCGAGTTAGAAGTCGAGTTAGAAGTCGAGTTAGAAGTCGAGTTAGAAGTCGAGTTAGAAGTCGAGCTAGAAGTCGAGCTAGAAGTCGAGTTAGAAGTCGAGTAGAAGTCGAGCTAGAAGTCGAGATAGAAGTCCAGTAAGAAGTCGAGATAGAAATCGAGCTAGAAGTCGAGCTAGAAGTCGAGTAAGAAGTCGAGCTAGAAGTCGAGTTAGAAGTCGAGTTAGAAGTCGAGTTAGAAGTCGAGTTAGAAGTCGAGTTAGAAGTCGAGTTAGAAGTCGAGTTAGAAGTCGAGTTAGAAGTCGAGTTAGAAGTCGAGTAAGAAGTCGAGCTAGAAGTCGAGATAGAAGTCCAGTAAGAAGTCGAGATAGAAATCGAGCTAGAAGTCGAGCTAGAAGTCGAGTAAGAAGTCGAGCTAGAAGTCGAGTTAGAAGTCGAGTTAGAAGTCGAGTTAGAAGTCGAGTTTGAAGTCGAGCTAGAAGTCGAGCTAGAAGTCGAGCTAGAAGTCGAGTTAGATACCGAGTTAGAAATCAAGCATCGTAGTATCGTGACAACACTACCTCCACTCCATACTCGTAAACTAATTGAACTACAAATATATGAATTATCTACATACTGAAATGCAGTGACCACACGACTGACTGACTCAGCACAGCTCTGCAGCCGTACACTTGTACAGTACATCCGTGACTAAACCAGGTCTATATTAAATGTGCAGAGACGCTGAATCACAGAATCTTTACAGGGACAGGATGTGAGCGCGGAATAGTGTGGGTCTGACTCACTGTACCTGACTGAACTGCGCAGGAGACATGGAAGCTTCTGCAACAGCCTCTCTGAAAACAACCCACGATGGCCCCGCTCTCCTCACACAGCCAACACGTCTGGAGAGAGAAAAACACAACAGAAAGAATTTAAAAGGCCTGCACCTGATTGTTTTTCCCTCGTGTTTGAGCATAATTTGTCCCAGAACAGATATATTTAGAAGCCGCTCTCGAGGTTAAAATAAGTCTGCTGAGTGCTGTTTGATTATAAAGTGCTGTTCGATAATCAGTGCTAGAGGAATTCTATTTGTGTGCTGTACTGAGGGCACACTGCCAGCTCAATCCTACATCTTCAGGAGGTATAATACTCCCTACAACAGAAGCATAGCCAGATTGGAGTGCACTCAACTGGAATTTACAACACTATCATAAGGTCTGGAGAGTTCTGTGTCCAGTACTGATGGTAAATAATCTTTTCCTGCCTTAGAGCTCCAGCATTGTGCCTCTCCTTTTCAACTCTCGGGCTACTACAATTTATTCTATAACAGTCAGGAAGTGTGTGTTAGCATGCTAGCTGTTAACTTCACCATCACAGTCAAACTCCACTCTGAAAGTCGTGAAAAGCGCTTACAAAGTGAGGAATGACTTTGGACTGCTGTGAATCGTTTATAATGAACTAGTTTTGTTTTTCACATTTTTAAGACGGTAAAAATCATGTATAGGATATCAAAAATCTGTACTCTGATACTCACCGATGTACAGTAATTGTAATCTGAGTTGGCACAATTATCAAATGGCAAGACTGCAATTATGGCCAGCAGAGGTTTTATTACAGATTTTGCCAATATCTTTGCATTTGATTGGGCTAAACTTTGATAAATTACTAGACCTGATATCACAACCGGTATCATATTGGTGCGATTTAAAAAAAAACGTTGCACTGTGTAACTTTTCTGGTAGAGGGTCAGCCATCTTGTCTGCTTGTCTCCAAGGAGATGTTACCGTTTTGTCTGGAATATGTCGGTATGGCATTTAAAGGTATCCATCTTGCATTTACTCAATAAGATGGGTTTTTATTGGGGATGTAACAATAACCGAAATATCGTGATATCGTATCGTCAAAGTTCTCACAATAATATCGTGACCATCATAAGATATTGAATTACAAGTCTCTTTGCTTAAATTAAGAGTTATGGTGCAGATATCTAAAAAAAGACAGAGGGAACTACATAGACCATGATCCTTTGCTCCAGTTCATTACAGACTACATGAAGAAATAACAGTTCTAAGCACTTTTAAGTCTTAGTTCTTCGGTTTAAGTCTTGTCAAGGCATTTTAAGAGGAAAAAGTAGCATATTAACAGTTTTCTTAACCTCCACAAAATATCGCAATAAATATTGTACAGTGAGATGGTACGATATTTCACGATATACGAGAGATTTGGATATTGTTACATCCGCAATCGTGAGCCTCCCCAACATATCATGAGCTTTCCCACAATATCGCAATAAATATCGTACCGTGAGGTTCATACCGTGACGATATTGTATCGTGAGACTTGGATATCGTAACACCTCTAGTTTTTATTGACCTAAAAACTCTTGCCTCTCCTCAAATCTGGCATGTAACTCCGCCCTGTGGTGTCACCTGCCGTTTCCATAGAGATAAATAAATAATGATCATTCCAGGCAGTATCTCCATGAAGAGAAGCAAGTGACGGACCCTCCACCAGAAAAGTTACACAGTGCACCTTTAAGTTAGTCAGCCAAAATAATAAATACATCCTCAATATATCAGTCAAATCTGGTAGAATGTGTGTGTTTTTTTTTTAACTGAGTAACATTGGCCCCTGCCCTCCATTGAAATTCTGAGACCAAATTTAATAATGTGTATAAAAACATTTGAAAGGAATTACAAAGTGGCAGTTTTATCAGTGAAGTGAATAAATTAAAAAAAAGATTAAAAACAGATTTGCGGAATAATCCTCCGCCAGATGTGGGTCCAGCTGCTCAAACTGGTCACGTCTGATTTGTAATATTTTTAAACAAATTTGATTCATTGAAGCTGAAATAAAAGAAAAATGTGTTTAAAAAAAAAAAAAAAAAGAAAAAGAAATGTACTACAATACAAAAACACATATTTAATTACATTCTAATATTGCAAAAAAAATAAAATAAACTTCAGTTACTGCTGTTATCATTGTTATTAGGGTACTACTATGAGAAGTAGTAAATACAATTTAGTAGTAGTAGTAATAAGAGTGTATATATATTCCTAAGTGCACTTGAGTCAGTTAGGGCCTTTTATTAGTCTACCAAACAGGTCAATGAAGGTAGAGTAGCACCCCCAAGTGGCCACTATACAGAATAACCACAAAATCAGTAGGACGGTGTATGGTATAGTTTTTGTTTTTTCTCGTACAGTGCATTGCATACGGACAGGTCAGATTTGTGGAGAGACAACCCGACATAAAGCAAGAATTCGTGTTTCCCCAGGCAGTTTTACATATTAAAAGGTCCTATATTATGCAAAAAATACTCATGTGAGCATTAAGTCATGTTATAATGTTGTTACCTCCTCAAAAACAAACCTGGAGTTGTGTTTTGTTTCATTCACACATTTGAATAATTCTTTATTATTAGTCTGTTTACATTTCCAGAGCTCAAAATGCACTGTCCCACCTTGTGATGTCATGAAGCAGTAGTTTTCAAGTTAACAGCTACTTTCGCTGTGTGAGTTTAAATATGCTATAAATTATAGGATTTGTGTTAAACAAGTGTGAATGAAACAAAACACCACTCCACGTACATTTTTGATGAGGAAATAACATTATAACATAGATCTGAAAAAACTGCGTAATATGGACACTTCAAAAACTTTTCGATTTAAAGATGCACTGTGTAACTTTTCTGGTGAAGGGTCCGTCCTATGCTTTTCTCTGTGGAGATGTTATTGTTTTGTCTGGAATGTTTCACAGTATGGTATTAAACCTTTCTATCTTCCAGGAGACCAAACCAGACCAAGTTACAGGTCAGATCTGTGGAGAGGCAACCCCGCTCACAGTCAGAATGCCTGTTTTTCTAGATATTTTTGAGCTTTAAAACCACCTGTAATTTAATAAATGTAAGGTAGAGCTGTTTAATATCATACTGTGGAACTTTCCGGGCAGAGCAATGACGTATCCATAGAAACAAGCAGATGATGGAGCCGCAACCAAAAAGCTACATAGTGCACTTTTAAATAAATACAATATAGATAAGCCAAATGTCATACGATGGAAGATTCCAGGCAAAACAATAACATTTCCATAGAGACGAGTAGATGGCAATACGCTCCACCAGAAAAGTTACACATTGCACCTTTAAATAAAAAAAATAATGACTGTCTTACCGTTTGTTGAGCGAGAAGTGCCGCCTCCTTTAATCCGTACAACTTCCCTCTGACCAAGAAAACGCCAGTCGACCAAACTCCACAATCCTCATGCATCCAGCACTCCTCCAAATTAAGAGTCTCATTCACAAGCGCATCCTCTTCCTTGATGCTTTTATTTTGAAACTCACTTCCCTCTTCTTCTACATGCCCATTTTGCGCAGTCCTTGGATTCTGCCCGTCTGAAAACACAGGATAGTAGGGGCCGTGCAGATCGCCGAGCATCTTAGCGTTTGCCGTTTGACCACATAAGCAGCACTTTAAATACTCAGTACGTTTCGAATCTGGGTTAACGCGACCCAGGCTGTAACAGGAGGTTGTGGGTACGAATCCGGACACGTTTTGGCTTGGTACTGGCTTTTTCTGGGCTGTCTCCTCCTCGTGATAGTTGACCACCGTGCACGTTTCCTTCTCTATGTGAATGAACGGCGAAAAGCTGTCAAATTTTGGCTCTCTTTTCTTCCTGTATGCATATTTCAGAGCGATTTTTGGGTCAATTGTGAACAACGAAGACTGACTGTTCTGTTGGAATTTCCGTTTTCTTTTGCGTTTTTTGATTGTCCTTTTGATTTGACTTTTCTCTATAGGTTCTTTACAGTTTTGCTTTGCGACGCTTAACTTTTTCGCAATCTTTCCCCTCCTATTATTATTATCAGTACGTTTTGTGACCACCGATTTGCATTGTAGTGGTTCTTCCTTTTCTGAGGGAGGATCGTCTTGAGTTGTGGCATCTATATTGGACTTGCTTTCTTTACTACAACTCATTCTTTGCGCATTTTTCTGTTGAGGAATTGATTCGTCTGAACTGGAAACCCTGGCTACGAAATCCAAAACATCGTCCGAATCGTAACTTTCATTATAAAGACCTATTGCGCTATTTTTTACTTGGCGTCTCAAACTTCGTCGCGGAGTTAGCGGGGGAGTGGTAGACGACGGTTTCCTAACACTACAACTGCGCTGCACTTTCGGTCTCGTTTGCATTTCATTTTCGTTTACCCTTTTAACAAATTTCTTCTTGCTGACCTCACTGGCGTCGCTATCATCGCTGGAAGCGTCGGCCAGCGATTGGTCGGCATAAACTGCATTGAGGTCAGATAGAACAACGATGGGGCGGGCGTGGTGGACAGGGATGTCAACGGAACTATCTGAAGACTCTTCCGTGTAGGAGCTATCCCGACTGGGGGAGGACTGAGGTAGATCGTAGCAGCTTCTCCTGTCATCTAGCGAGGAGGGGGACAGTGGCTCTACTATGTGCGTTACATTGTCCTGTATAAAGGTTGTGCATAGGAGAGGTTCTTTAGCGGACGAAACCAAAAATATAACATCAGAGTCACTATCGCTGTCCTCTTCCTCCTCCTCTTCTTCTTCCTCGACCCCGCTGCTTTCGGGGCCTGCGTTTCCGCTCGCGTTGTAAAATCCCCTGTGCCATAAGTTGTTGTGGACTTGGTCGTGGTACAGATCCAAACCAGGATTGAGAGGAGAGTTCATGTAGTTTGCAGCTTCCTGGTTCAAGTCTGGGCGCAGAGAACTGTAAAAAAAAAAAATCAAGAGTGAGACTTTAAGGAGGTATTAAAAACATACCTGAAGTTGTGTTTTGTTTAATTCACAAATGTTTAAGCTGAGTTCTTTTGTCAAACAGAAACCATTCTGTTCCACCTTGTGAAGTAATTTGGTAATACAGGATGATTTTAAACACCATATACTTCAACTAGAATCATTTGGAAAACTTCAATCTCTACTGAACAAAAGGTAAAAAGTACTTGTTGTCATGAAGCTGTAGTTTTCAAGTTGTCACAAGGTGGAACTGAGCATTCTGAGCTTTGAAGATGGAGACTAAAAATAAAGGATTACCCAGACGTGTGAATAAAACAAAACACAGCTTCAGGAATGTTCTGATAAGGTAACATCATTAAACATGGCTGAAAGCTCACAATTTTGCTTAATTGAGGACCTTTAAACTATAACATTTAATTCACTGTAAACAACAACATTGACTCAAAATGATTTAAAAATAGAACTGTCCTGTTCAAAACTGCAGCGCTCAAAGCTCAGTCTCTTCATTTCAGAGTAACAATTATCAGATTTTATTGTTTTACTGTTGAAAAATGTCTCTATGTGACATTTTTGAGCCCCATCTATGACCAGAATGTGGATTAACTGAAAAGTCGTTAAGTAAATATAGTAAATGAGTGCTCAGATTTCAGCTTTCACCTAAGTCTTGAATGCAGAACAATACAGAATTACCCAGACATGCATAAATCAATACGATACAACTGGGAGTACACTAACGGTGAGTAGTAATAATATTTCGTAGATGAGACCTGGTTCTGTAGGGAGAAGACAGGTCTGGACCACAGCTCTGGGGCTGGCGGTGGTACCACTCGGGTTTCTTGGTCATGTCCAGAGGCTGAGCGTGGCTGTGGGGCAGACGACCCACAGAGAAGCCCTTTGACAGGTCCATGAGCAGTGGAGGGAGCCCCCTGGAGGACACATCCATCACTGCAACAGGAGCAAAAACGTCAGAAATGTAAAAAAAAAGTATGCATTGTATTAATTTCATACACAAAGATTTTCCTTGAATTGTGATCAAATTAAATTGACAGTATATACTATTACGAGCAGCAGAGTTTGGACTTTGGAGAAATAGACTAATACTGAAACCAAACCATAAAGCAGAATTATGCACTAAAAATATTCTAAATGTACAAAATTTAAAAATGTACAACAAAAAAAAGTCACAGAGGTTCATAATTCAAACCTTCTACAGCTCAAATCTCATCATAATACAGTAAAAATAACACACATTTCCCCACTAGAATAAAGAAAAAGTCCTCAAGATAAAAAATTATGCCTGGAATGATAAGTTTATGTAGTATTTACTGGCATAATAGGCACTGCACGATTTTGGGAGAAAACATTCGATTTTTTTTTTTTTGACTAATTACTGAGTCAGAAAAGTGCTTATTAGATTTGAAATTTATGTTTAAAAAGCTGGACTCTGTTCAGAGTGCACATTGTAAACAACTCCAGAAGCATTAACATTTGAGAGAAGACTGAAATGTGAACTGTTAAACTAATACAAGAATCTCATGCATTTCAGTCTAAACTACAGGTACAACAAGATGTCTCCATTAAAAGACAAGACATTTTGTTCTTTGGAGAGGACATTCTATTATCTAAATAATTACAGCCTTGGCAATTTAATAATTGCACCAATTCAAATAGCTTGATTGATTGATTGATTCGATAGTGATTAATTGTGCAACCCACATTTTTTTTTCTTTCTCATGTTAAGTTGCTGAAGCAGCAGCTTTTTTTGTCCATATTTATTAAACACCACACATTTTTGTCATGTGTCTCTTCATAAGAAATAATATTAAATCAAACTCTGATTGCCCAATGTGACAAAAAAGGACAGATTTCTTGTTGTTGCATAGCTACTGTTTATTTACTATAATTTTTTTCATATTATCCCTGGAGTTTAAAAGACATTCAAATCATATACTGTAGTTTTGTATGTATTTATGTGTATATTTATTTTACATTTATGAGAAAAATATAACTTAATTTATTATTATATTTTTAGACCTTAATAGCTGCATAATAAACCTGCATAAAGACTTAATTAACAAAAATAAAGATACATTTTAAAGGATTACAGCCTATTAGTCTTTATTCTGTCTGTTTTAAATGAGTGGAAGTAGACAGTTGGAGGTAGGTTACTGCTGTGGTCCACCAACTCCCTCAGGTGTCACTGCATACACGAGTTATTGAACTGATGAAATCTTAATGCAAAAATAGCTACAAAAGTCACTAAAATGCATTTCCTGTACATTTTGTTAGACTATACAACAGCTAAATTGCAGATTTCTAACCTGACACCTGTAAAGATGAGAGACAGTGACATGCAAAGCTGATTCCAAAAGTTCCAATTCTTCGATTCTTACCCAGATAAAGGCAGTGGATCTCGGATGGTCGCCCCCCTCCACGGCTAAACTGCGGATTTCGGGACCCCCTTTTTGCCTCTGAAACTCGGGTACCACGGGCGGGGGATTGGCTAACACACCTACCCGGACAGGCCCATCATTCTCGGATGTAAACAACAGCAGCAGCCAGCCGCGGATCACGCTAGTTAGCCGCTTAGCATCACGCACTAGCCGCTTAGCATGACGTAGTGCTACATGAAAGACCTAAACTGCGGAACATCCAGCGACACGAGATCAAATAAATGTTTTGATCATAAGAATGATGATTTTTACGCGTGTCAGATCCGCTTCGTGTTTAAAGTTGTCATCGTGGATACGTTTTCTAGCAGCGTAAAGTTAAAACGAGTTAAAATACGAAATGTGTCAAACCGGAAATAAGTTTGCTCCTTCAAAATAAAGATTGTCAGAATAAAATAATACAAGTTTGATGGGCTTACTGGCCTCAAAACATTACCAAAAGAATATTAGGACAAACTAATTACACTTTGATTACTAATGTAGCTATGATTTTAAATTTAGTCCCACAGCTTAATTAAAATTGTTATTAAAAATGTAATTTTTAAAAATAAAACAGTGATGCTAAAAAAAAAAAGACCACACAAACCCTATTTATCAGTTTTAAATTCAAGAACAATATATAATAGTGTAATCATGAATGAATGTATTTTATTTAGGTTTCATAAACAAAAATGTGGAAGTTTAATAATCGGTGATGACTTAACGGTGTTGCGTAATTAAGCGAGGGGCGCGCGTAAAGTTTCGTCCAGCTATTTCTTACCGCCCGTGACGCATTTTTCAAGATGGCTTTTTTTCATCACGTAGTATTTCTTCTGCTGTCTCTTCTATCAGCACAACGTGGGGATGCGCTCCCTTTTTATGGAGTTTGTCAGACTATTTCGATCCCTCTCTGCATGGACATTCAATACAACCAAACTGTAATGCCTAATTTAATGGGACACCACAACCAAGAAGACGCTGGCCAGGATTTACAGCAGTTTGTCCCTTTCGTGAAAGAAAAGTGCTCTCCGGAGTTGAAATTTTTCCTCTGCTCCGTCTACGCGCCCGTGTGTACGGTTTTGGTGACGTTTATCCCCCCGTGCAGGCCAGTCTGTGAACGGGTCGTGAAGGGCTGCGAACAAATCATGAGCAAATCTGGATTTCAGTGGCCCGATCGTCTGCGTTGTGAAAACTTTCCAGAACGTGGACTCTGCGTGAGACAAATTGACGCACCGGCAACCACAGGGCCTCCCATCACCGCGGCCCCAAACAACAACTCATAAAAATAATGATTTCTATAACAACAACTCACAACAGAGCGTACGTGTAATCTGCTCTGTGGGCTACTTGGCTGTTGTAATATCAAAATAAGATTAAACCTATGTAATCCACCTAATATCTGTTACATAGGCTATTGCTGTTTGATGGGAGTTGCAAAAATCTGTACAGATATTGTGCTGAAGGAGTGGGGTTTTGAGTGTGGTGTCTTTTAACTCTTTTAGCTACGAGTCTGTAATAAAGTTAGATATAATAATAAGAATGTCGGCTTGCCTATTTTATTAAAGCATCATGCCTTGAGTCCAGTGTAAAATGGAGTGTTTGACGTAGGCCTCACATGCTTGCAGTTTTCAAAAATAAATAAATACAGAAATACAATGAAAATATTTATATGAATTCTGCATTGTCTAGTTCTCTTCTTTTCCACAAATACAAAACATTAGAAAATTACCCTATTCTGTAAGCGTGTACCATGGATCTAGGTAAAAATCCCAAATCCTATACACAAGTTTATTACAGTACAGGTATAAAGATAAAACACTTAAGATCACATAATTTGGGGGCTGCTTCTAGGCTACCGTTTTAGACCATTTGCACATTCTTCGTTTAATTATTAGTAACTATATTATAGTGTACTGTATTGCCAAAACGTTGTAATAGCGGTTGAAGAAAAAATATGGGAAACATTTTATTTATTAATTCATTTCTTTATTTATTTCAAGCCAATAAAATGCGACGGTCCTACCTTGATAATTACCTTTGACAATTTTACACTGAAAAACAAGAAAACGAGGAATGTTTTCAAAATAAAATATTTTTGTAAACTGAAAATAGGCAAAAAATGCAAAGTTCATCTCTAAAGTTAACTTCAAGCCATAAGTTAAAGTTGTTGTCATTTTGCAAGTGCGCATTTGAGACTTTTATTAGAATATGCAGTTTCTCTGGATGCAAAAAGTACCAGAAATCGGCCTGTACATTTATTTTGAAGGTGTAAACCGGCTGTCTCTTGAGTGTTATCGGTGGCTTGGACTGAGTCTAGAAATGGGAGTTGCGTGTGGTGCGTGCTGTGGAAAAAGTGAGAAGGAACAGTAGGAGCGACGAACAAGCACAAAGAAGTCGTGTCCAGGTATTCCCACAACTGTACACGCTTTTAATCTGTAATTTTGGAACATTAATTACCAGTTTGATCCATGTTTTAGACAAATTGAAGTGTCCTTTTTGTACGAGCAAACTTTTCCGAGATGGATTTTCGTTCCCTCTGGTGCGCCCTGCTCCTTTTGCCCGTGCTCGTATCAGCGCAAGGCGACAACGGAATGGTGGTACCCGAACATGGATTTTGTCAACCGATTTCAATCCCTCTGTGCACGGACATCGCCTACAATCAAACTATAATGCCTAACCTGGTGGGACATTACAACCAAGAGGATGCTGGCTTGGAGGTACACCAGTTCTACCCGCTCGTAAAAGTGCAGTGCTCGCCAGAGTTAAAGTTTTTCCTCTGCTCCATGTACGCGCCCGTGTGCACCGTTTTGGAGAAGGCGATCCCCCCGTGCAGGTCCATCTGTGAGCGTGCCAAGCAAGGTTGCGAAGCTCTTATGAACAAATTTGGATTTCAGTGGCCCGATCGTTTACGCTGTGAAAACTTTCCAGTGTTGGGAGACGGGCAAATCTGCGTCGGTCAGAACGACTCCTCTCCTGCCACCGTACCGCCCGTGATCGCTCCCATACCCCCGGACCACACCATATTTGCCCCTCACGACTTGCCCTTCTCTTGCCCCAATAGCCTCAAAGTTCCACCGTATCTGAATTACAAGTTTATGGATGCCAAAGACTGCGGGGCACCCTGTGAACCAACTAAAGGTGGTGGCCATATGTTTTTCAGTGAGAAGGAGATCCAGTTTTCTCGTCTGTGGATTTTAGTATGGTCTGCCCTTTGCTGTGCATCAACGTTATTCACCGTCTTCACCTATTTGGTCGACATGCAGCGCTTTAGGTATCCCGAAAGACCCATAATTTTCCTATCTGGTTGCTACACAATGGTATCTATAGCTTACATCGCCGGATACTTCCTTGGAGATAGTGTGGTTTGCAATGGCATGTTCTTTCCGGATAGCTATAAAACTCTCGTCCAAGGCACCAAAAAGGAAGGCTGTACCATTTTGTTCATGATGTTGTACTTTTTCAGCATGGCCAGCTCGATTTGGTGGGTCATTTTGTCGCTAACCTGGTTCCTAGCCGCTGGCATGAAATGGGGTCACGAAGCCATTGAAGCAAACTCTCAGTATTTTCACCTGGCAGCTTGGGCAGTACCCGCCATCAAGACAATCAGCATATTGGCGATGGGGCAAATCGAAGGAGATCTTCTCAGCGGTGTTTGCTATGTCAGCTCTAGCAACCTCGACCCACTACGAGGTTTTGTTTTGGCCCCACTTTTCATATACCTCTTCATCGGGACCTCCTTCCTCCTGGCTGGATTTGTATCTCTTTTCCGAATCCGCACGATTATGAAACACGACGGCACCAAGACGGAAAAGCTGGAGAGGCTAATGGTTCGGATTGGCGTTTTCAGCGTCCTCTACACGGTTCCTGCGACAATCGTTATCGCTTGCTTCTTCTACGAGCAAGCTTTCCGGCCACACTGGGAGAGAACGTGGCTGAGTCAAAACTGTAGATCTTTGGCGATCCTTTGTCCCATGCATAGCGGACCACGAATGACCCCAGATTTCACCGTTTACATGATCAAATATCTGATGACTCTCATTGTGGGAATTACATCCGGGTTCTGGATTTGGTCTGGGAAAACTTTGCACTCCTGGCATAAGTTTTATTCAAAACTGACAAATGGGAAAAACGGAGAAACCACAGTGTGAAAATGACATTTTTTTAAATGACTTTTGTGGCCTGTAAGCTGCGTTTGACAGGACAATATAGCATGAAATGGGCCGAAGAGTGGGAGAGACATTCAGCAAATTGTTAAGAGCTGGAGGTTTAACCCACAACTCTTGAGAATAATCCCTGTGGTCTTTGGACACTGTTTTCAGTGACTTTTTATCATGTCAGTTGTGGATTTAACATGGGGAGGCTGAACAGGGCTGCACAATATTTAGAACAAATGCAATGACTGTAACTTTTCACATGGTGCCATTTTTATATCATTTAGTCTACAATTACACCATTCATAGATTCAAATTTGCAACTCAAGACTAAACCCAAACAAAATCAAGACACAATGAGTCTCTAAAATGTAAAAATACAAAACAATATACTCCAAGTTTTTCTTACACATTCAAACATGGATGGGCGGGAGACCGTGTCTTGCCCAAGAACGCAACAACAGTGATTTGGAATTAGTCCCACAACAATACAATTAAGGTTATTGTATAAGGGATCATAACGGATGGTCTGATATAAAATTTTGAAGATGATATCCGATATTGGCCTTGCTGTTGTAGCCTATAATCGATAATTGCCAATACCGATATTAAGCTTTTAAAATCAATAGTGCCGACCAAATTTATGTTAAAGGTGCTCTGTGTATGTCTATGTTCCACAGTATGGCATTAATATTATCTACCTACCATACCTACCTACCATAAATAAAAGTATGTGACATCACCAGGCCAAGTTACAAGTCAGATCTGTGGAGAAACAAAGTTCAAATGTATGCTTAGTATTTCTGAGCATGCAAGATAGATGACTTTAATGCCTTACAGTGGAACATTTTGGGTAAAGCAAAAACATCTACATGAGACAAGCAGGTGATAGACCCTCCATCAGAAAAGTTACACAATGCACCTTTAAGTTATAGTTTTAGTTAAGTTTACATATTAACTTATCACTTTTGTAAAAACAATAATAAAATGTGTTCATGTCCATATTTTTACTCATTTCGTTGCTTAAAAAGACAAATCAGACGCACTAAAAACAAACTGGAAATGACCCCTGAAGCTGTGCCATTGCAGGAAATATCAGTGTCAAATATCGGCTTCATTTTCATTATCGGACCATTACCGATATCTGGGGGAATCCTTTTGATTACCGACAATAACTGATATACCATCCCTATAGATCATATCATGCTTTGGCAATATTGTGCAGCCTCCTTCCATTTATCTAAAGACGTTCACCAAAGAGACAGAGACCCTATGATACCAAAGTAAAGCTGCCAAACAAAGACTGAATTCAAGTTTTGTTTTTTTATTCCCCATGTAACTAAAATGAACTTGTAAATACTTTTTGTACAAATGTGAAATTCTATATTTTGTATTTAAGAAGCAATACTATCTTTCGCACTGTAAAATAATGTACACTCATGTTTGTCTTTGGTTAAACTCAATACAGAACTTTAACCCATTCCACTGTGTTTTTTATACAGTTGTTTTCATTTCAGTCTATTCTGTTAAATCACAGAGAAAAGTACAATATCCAAAGATTTAATAATTTTACCTTGACCTGAATGGTATTTGAATGTAAAATAGTCTTTGTATTTGAATGAATCTGTGTGATAAATTTGGCATAAATTGTATTAAAACAAGAAAATATAATTGGCAAGGTACTAAAGTGATTTGTAATAACCGCGTAGTAGTCATTGTTGTTGTCGCAGTTGTAGTTGTAGTTGTTGTAGTTCTAGTAGTAGTAGTAGTAGTAGTAGAAGGTGTAGTAGAAGGTGTAGTTGTAGTAGTAGTTGTAGTTGTTGAAGTTGTTGTTATTGTAGTAGTAGTAGTAGTAGTAGGTGTAGTAGTAGTAGGTGTAGTAGTAGTAGTAGTAGTAGTAGTAGTAGGTGTAGTAGTAGTAGTAGTAGTAGAAGGTGTAATAGAAGGTGTAGTTGTAGTAGTAGTAGTAGTTGTAGTTGTTGAAGTTGTAGTAGTAGTTGTTGTAGTTGTAGTTGTTGTAGTAGTAGTTGTAGTTGTTGTAGTAGTAGTTGTTGTAGTTGTTGTAGTTCTAGTAGTAGTTGTAGTTGTTATTGTAGTAGTTGTAGTAGTTGTTATTGTAGTAGTAGTTGTTGATGTAGTTGTTGTAGTTGTTGATGTAGTTGTTGTAGTTGTAGTAGTTTTAGTTGTAGTAGTAGTAGTATTTGTAGTAGTTTTCGTAGCTGTAGTAGTAGTTGTTGTAGTTGTTGTAGTTCTAGTAGTAGTTGTAGTAGTTGTAGTAGTTGTTATTGTAGTAGTAGTAGTTGTAGTTGTTGATGTAGTTGTTGTAGTTGTTGATGTAGTTGTAGTAGTTGTAGTAGTTTTAGTTGTTGTAGTAGTAGTATTTGTAGTAGTTTTCGTAGCTGTAGTAGTAGTTGTTGTAGTAGTGTAGTAGTAGTTGTAGTAGTTGTAGTGTAGTTGTAGTTGTAGTAGTTGTAGATGTAGTTGTAGTTGTAGTAGGCAACCAGCTTTATCAGTCTTTCTAAAGTGAATGTATTGTGACATAAACACATTGTGGTTTTCTTTTTTGAAGTCTAGTTTGAATTGAAATGTTTCTAAAATTCTCACAATTATTTATTTTTGACCTAAATAATCTTAATTATCGATGGACCACTGACAAGTACCTTCCATAGAGAACTCACCACTGCAAACAACAATATCAAGGCAAGTTACTTAAATTAAGAACTTTTACTTTATTTGACTAGTTTGAACTTCATAAGTCAAACGATCTACCAATGGAATAAGTGTGTTTTTCTTAATTCAAGCAACTTAAGAGTTTGTTTTTAAAGTGAAAAGGGCTGTTGTATTTTCATATTTTTACTACAAAAAGTCTTGTTCCATTGGTAGATTTACTCAAGCGAACTCAAAACTTTCTGAATTCAAGTAATCTTAACTCGGCTAGGTTTTAGTTTTCGTAGTGAAATGGTCCTTGTTTCGGTCCATATTACATGTGGTTTCTTGGATTCTTGATGTGGAAGTCATTCTTTTCTCAGCTGGCTCGAGGTGGCAGCCATTTCGTTTGTTCACAAATGGGTGAGTGGGCGTCGCACCTGAACAGCTGTTGTCTGAGGCCATAAAAAGCTTCTGGTCTTTCCTAATGGACCTCTGCAGCACCGGCCCCTGTTAAAGTTTCATAGTGGCGCTAATGCTAAAGCTGTCAAATGAAAATCCTGCGTTGTGTCAGTTTTGGTTCAGTTTTTCTGTGTCTGTGTCATAAACTGGCGCCAGACCAAAATGTGTCAGTCTGGAATTATTGCTTGGGCTACGGCCTTCAGCATGTTTTGTTATATTACCTATACATCTATAAAGTTTTACGTAAAGACTAACTGTAACTTTTTTCTTAGGGGTCTGTCATCTGCTTGTTCCTATGGATATGTTGCTCTGCCTGGAATGTTCCACAGTATGACATTAAACAGCTCAACCTTACATTTATTCAATTACAGGTGGTTTTATAGCTCAAAAATACAAAAACAGGTACTATCACTGAGTGGGATTGCCTCTCCACAGAGCTGACCTGTAACATCTTCATGGAGAAAAGTATTTGATGGACCCTCCACCAGAAAAGTTACACAATGGACCTTTAAGCCATGTTATAATGTTGTTTCCTCATCAAAAACATACCCAGAGTTGTGTTTTGTTTCATTCGCACATGTTTGAGTAATCGTTTTATTATTAGTCTATCTAAATCTCCAGAGCTCAAATGCTCTGTTCCACCTTGTGATGTCATGACGCAGTAGTTTTCAAGTTAACATACTTTTTTCCGTTAGTTCAGCAGAGGATGGCAATTCCAGATCCAGTGTTGGGAAGGTTACTTTTAAAATGTATTTCTCTGCAGATTACAGATTGCATATCCCAAAATGTAATTTGCAACATAATCCATTAAATTACTTAGAGTGAGTAACATAATCTGAATATTTTGGATTACTAGATATTGTCATGCTTTTTAAAACTACATGAATGTAGCAACCACATCCTGAAAATTCTTCTTCTCATCAAATTGGTTGTTGAGCCCAAGTCTCCATGAACAGGCAACTGTTTACTGTAGAGAAGCAAAGACTAGGATCTTAACATAAGATGTTTTGTCTGCTTAAAGACAATTAAAAACCCAGTCTTTCCTTAACCGTATTAAAAAGATTATTGATAGAGAAATGCTTTCTATATGAGATCACTGCTGCCTTAAATTATGTCCACCCTACTGTTGGATGTCATATTGTTTAGACCTGATTTAGTCCTGGTTTAGTCCTGGTTTAGTCCTGGTTCAGTCCTGGTTTAGTCCTGGTTTAGTCCTGGTTTAGACCTGGTTTTAGTCCTGGTTTTAATCCTGGTTTAGCCCAAAATGTGAAAACGGGAAAATACAGTCATGTAATCCATTTATTTCGACAAAGTAACTGTAATCCAGTTACCACTCATTGAAACAGTAACTGTAACTGAATGCAGTTACTCATAATTTGTACTCTGATTACGTAACGCCGGTACATGTAATCTGTTACTCCCCAACACTGTCCAGATCTGTAATCCTCCAAATGATTCTAGTGATAGTGTATGGAGTTTAAAACACAATGGAGCACTTCCTGTAACAAAACACAACTCCAGATATGTTTGTGAGGAGGAAACATTAACACATTAACACATTAACACATTAGGAAACATTATAATACAGATCAGAAAATAGTATAAATAGAGAATTAATAGCGTTGTATAGAGTGGTAGGGATGCACAATATAATAAAATAAAATAAAATTGGGATATTTCTGACGTGTACTCTGGTTAAATTTGCAATACATGGCTAAAAAGTACGATTCTTTTTGGAGTGCAGAAGAAGACTGAACTGATAAACTAATACTAAAATCCCATTCATTTCAGAGCATGTTTGTAGAGGTCTAAACTACATACAACATAAAAACAAAGGATATTTAGTTCTTTGCAGGGGAAATTCTATGATTGAAATAATTGCAGCCTTTGTGATTTGATAATTGCTCCAACATAAATAGTTTTGCTACTGTGTAAACATATTAAGAAGTACTAATATTAGCACTGGAAGTAATAGCAGTCAGGCCCGTCGAGAGAAATTTGGGGGCCTGGGGCAAGAAGATTCATATGGGCCCCCCGCTAATATTAATTAATGGACAGATATTCCAATTCTGGGGCCCGGGACAACAGATTCCTTTGCCCCCTCCTGTCAACTTCTCTGATTGCAGTAGTAGTAATTAAAGAAGTTATTATACAGCTGTTAATAACAGAGAAATTGTTTACTTTTATTCGTTTCAAGTATTTCAAATCTCTGCTTCCTTTAGTATCTGCTACTACTACTACTTGTGCCACCATATATTAGTACCATTGATACTTTGCAGCTGATCTCATCAACATTTCCTAAAGGTGTGAAGCTAACTGTAGGCACTGTTCTGTCTGGGACTTTATTAGACTTTAATGAGCTTTATTTTAACACAATCTGACCAGAAAGTGCTGACGTGACTGGAGCTACAACAGGTGAGCTGGATTGTGCTCCTAAACAAGGCCCTTACAAATAAAATTACAGTCATTAGCCAGCAGTATTTAAGTTAGTCACTCCATTTTTGTTGAAAATCAAACTACTAAACAGGCCCACGAACGCTCATATTCAGCACAGGCTCCTGAAAATGTGCTGTTTAAATGTATTTTGTATTTTTTCTTGAGTTTTCATACCATCTTAAAACTTTTTTGACACTGTTTACTAATTTGTACATTGTGTCACCATGGTAACTGCTGAACATTCCGCTATTGGAGATACATTTAGAACAGCGAGATGCCACTGCTAAGTGTCAATATGCTACTCTATTTCTCTAGTACTACCACTGCTACTACTACTACTACTACTACTACTACTACTACTACTACTACCCTGGCACCCAGCATGGTTCACATTGCACATCCCTTGCCATTGATTTACAGATTGATTTAAAAATGGTCACCAGACCCATCAACAGAAATCTGGGGGTCCGAAGCAAGAAACCTCTAACCAGGCTGGAGTGGCACCAGCCTGGAACTAGCCGGGCCACTCTGCTCAATTTCATTTCTCTCCAGCGACTAGGTCAGGAATCAGGTTACACTAAACGGTTTTGCAAGAACCCCGGAAGTTGTAGACCTTGCACAGACCAATCAGTGAAGAGCTGTGAAGCCATGATGTCAAACTCAAGTGCCTGTCTGTGTCCCTTTTATGATACAGCACAACAGTAAACAAAGCGGTCGAGGTCGATGTAAACGAAGACAGACATTCTGTGTTGGCAACGATTCCCATGAAGTGAAACCGGCTGATGAATCAAGCTAAGAATCCTCACCCCTGTTAATATAAATTAATAGGAAGAGGGTCCAGTTCGGGCCCCCTAAAAACCTGGGACCCAGAATAACAGACCCTTTTGTCCTTTCTCTTTCTACTGCCCTGATGGTAACATTTCTAAGGTCACTATA